CAAGACAAGTTTTGCTTAAGTCAGGATCGCGTGAAGTATTAAACTCACACCAAGTATTATAGTAACAATAACTTGGGACTAACCTCCTAACTAATTACGTTATGCCTAGAAGATTGGCCCAAGAAATTTCAAACTTAAGATCTGAACCTTCAAACCTTTACCAATTGCGCCAATTGTCTTGGGTTAATTTTTTTATTGTTTGTCAAAACTTTTGTTAAAATTTTGACGTTCTCGAACTTTGTGTCAAATATGGAGCAATTTGACAAAGCTCTCTCTTTTATACCTACAATGTAGAGGTGATTGAAAATAATTCATGAGACAATTTGACCATTTAATGGCAAAACAATAATTCGATTGATTTTGTAAAGTCATTGAATTAGGCATAAAACAACAACCATTTTTGATCTAAAAGGGCCCAGCAAGTTAAACTCATTGCTTTGAGGTGACATACGCTGAAAGATGAATAAATTTCATCCTTAAAGCTTCCGAATCAAGAAATTTGCTATATTTGACAAGATTTTAAAGACTAATTTTGGAATATAAATAAATTTAATTTTTTCACGTTTTTTTCTAGGAAGCTTCTACTACATTCTAGATCCCAAATTCGAATTTGCTATTTTTTGGCAATTTTCTAATTTTATATATTCTTGGCCCAATTTGAGACATGAATACTGGTTTAATCACCAAGCAATGTTCCTTATAAATTAAGATGTAGGCTTAAGAACCTTGTTTAGGAACAAATTATTTTGGTATTTTTTTATTTTTTTATGAAGAGATGTGCATAAAAATAGAGAAAGTAATGTGATAACTTATAATAATTTTTTGACTTTTTAACTAAAAATTTAATTCTCAAACGATGCCTGATTTTGAGTAATAAAATTTCAAAGAGTTGTTCTCATTTTATATTGTTCCTAATTTTTCATTATACAATATTAACATTTCAACAGTGTATACTAAAATTTAATTTGACATTTCAATTTGTCCATTTTGCCATTAATCTCATATTATTTTTCTTAATTCTTGTTTTTTGTTTTTTGTGTTAAATTCTTAACCACTAGCATTAGTCTAAAAGAAAAGAGAATGATCCTTCCTTGTAAAGAAACATATGAATCATATGAACCAAAAGTTAAATATAAGATATTGCCATTTATTTACCAAACACATGCCTAATTTGCCTTTAATGTAAACCAAAGACTTGCCTTCACTATGGCAGATATTTATCCTCTATGTTCGGCTTATATCTTACGCAGTCTTATTTGGGGAGGTGACACTACGTCAAAATTGAGTTTTAGCGGCGGTTTTTTACTGCCGTTAAAGGATGTAAAACCGCTGTTAAACTCTTTAACGACCGTAATTTAGGACCGCCGTTTATACTCGTGTTGGAAAAGGTAAACCGTCGTAAAAGACAATAACGAAAACCGCCGTTAAAAAAATCGCCGTTAATGCCCTGTTTTGACGTAGTGTGACTTGTTTTTGATTAATTGATTTTTTAAAAAATATATATATAAAAAAAAGAGAAACAATATGGCTCAAATAAATCAATAAGTTAACTTTTTTTTTCTAATTGTCAAAATAGGCTATAATTTTTGTTCTTCTAAATATTTTGACATGTGATTAGTATTATTTATTTATTTATTATTTTTTTTTGCACCTCTCCTTATAAGATGAGTGCACAACCATTTTAGTAGGTCAAACCTATTAAATAACTTTTCACTTTGAAATACATTAATTTGGGGGAAATCGGTCTAAGGTCCCTATCCAACTTTTAGTAATAGATTAGGTCCACAATCTGTTCTTTTGTAGTCTAAGGTCCCTCACCCCATTCCCACTCCTAAACTCACCCATCTCACACCACTCTCACCACCAAAGGAGTGCACCCTCCACCTTGTGCTCGCCTCCGCAGCGACACAAAGAAGAGCAAGAAGAAGACCTACACCAAGCCCAAAAAGATCAACTACTCCACCACTTCTACATTCATCCTCTTTCTGATTGCTTGAGATTTTGTCAACCACTTCTTCCATGTATATAACTTTCACTTCTCTCTTCTAGTTAATGCCGTGGGCTCTAGCAATTGCCTGTTCCTCATTTTTTGGGTTTGGATCGGGAGCATATATGATAACTGTGTCACCAATGGAGATCCTCCACGCACCTGACCTCGAAGCAGGCTCCGCAGATCTGCCCTCTCTCAAACACTGTGCTGCTCAGCCCTGCCGTCGACATTCCGTACCCGTCCTTCACCAGGTCGCCGTACCTACATGCTCCTCCCACTGCGTCATGGGGGTCCGCCGCCGCGTAGTAGGTGGCATGTGCGGATCTCTACTCTGTAGAAGTAAAACTAGTAGTAGTAGCACTACTACTACCACCCCACCAGGATGATGATGATGATGATGACGAGGAAGGAGATGGGTCGGATGATGAGGAATAGTGTGCGGTTACTAGTAATAATCCTGATGCTAGAGTTAATAGGAGGAGAAGTCTCAGATTTTGTATCAGATTAACAGACATTTTCAAAGCCAGTTAGAGAGAGAGAGAGAGAAAGAAAGAGAGAGTGGTAGTAGTAGTGGGCAAGGTCTCAAAGCATTTGATGTCTTGTTGTTCTACAAGGTTGATAACTTCGGCAAGGTTCAGAGGTCGAGTATGTAAGCAAATCAGATTGATTTTTCTCCGAATTGTGTGAATTTTCTCTTGATGTGTGAATTTTCTCTGGACTATGAATTTTCTCCAGATGTGTGAATTTTCTCTGGACGTATGAATTTTCTCTGTGCCGACTTGCAGTTCATAGTTTTCACACCTGTGTTGACAGGTAACAAAAATACCCAAAAGAGAAAACCTAAAAGCTAAGAAGGTGTCCAATAGAAACCCATATTCATGTTTCTTTTATATACATATATATCCAAAAATTCAAGCCTTGTATTTTTGTTAATATAATACAGTTTAGTTTGTCAAGATTTTGGATTTTCTCTGGTAAAGGATTTGAATTTTCTCTGGTTTCATAGAGAAAAGATCCTATACAAAAACAAATAATTTTGTTCAGATAAATTTCATTTTTCTCTAGAGAGAAGGGAAATTTCTCTGGATTGGAGAGGAAGAATTTCTCTAGTTTGGGTTGGAAATGGAGAATTTCTCTGGGTTAAGTGAATTTCTCTGGATTGGAGATGAGAATTTCTCTGGTTTTCAGTGAATTTCTCTATGTAGTCCAGAATTTCTCTGGAAATTTTTTTTGAGAAGTTGCCTTTCTTTCTCACCTTTGAGAAGCAAGGAAGTGAGTTGAGGTAGGGGAATTCCTATGTTCAAAAAAAAAAGAGCAGAGAAATTTAGAAAGTTTAGGGAAGTCCGGAGAATTTTCTCTGACTTGAATTTTCTCTGACTTGGAAGACCAATTTTCTCTGACTTGAATTTTCTCTGGACCAATTTTCTCTGACTTGAATTTTCTCTGAACCAATTTTCTCTGGACCAATTTTCTCTGGGATTGATGTTGAGGGACCTTAGACATCATTGGGACTGAAATTTCTCTGGACTGATGTTGAGGGACCTTAGACATCATGAAAATATTTGATGTCCTTTATAATGTAAAATCATAATATCAGGGACCTTAAAAAAAATACCCCAAATGCACATATCATTTTTTTTTTTTTGCACCTCTCCTTATAAGATGAGTGCACAACCATTTTAGTAGGTCAAACCTATTAAATAACTTTTCACTTTGAAATACATTAATTTGTATACAAACTTTGCTAGCATAATTTAAAAAAAAAAAAAAAAAATTATATATAAGAACACCTCCAACGACTTATCTATTTCTATTTTTTAAGCTAATTTTGAAGTCCCATTCCAAAACACCGTTCTAGAAGCTTCCCTAAGGATCTCCCCATTATAAGAAATCGCTGCATCTCATCAAATGTAACTAGTCATCATAGCACACTTCCTAAAAATTTCAATATTAAAAAATTGGAAAAATTATTATTAAAAAAAAAATTCAAGTTTGACTCTTATACAAAATAAATTTCAAATTTTTAAATGTGTTAATTTAAATCTTAAACTTTTGATTTTTTTTAATCAAATTATTTGTCTATTTTTGCTAAATAAAACTCATAAAAAAAAGAGAATATTTTAGTTGTTTAACTCAACAAAAAGAATATTTTAGACATTTTATATATACCTAATTAAGTTTAATAACTAAAATGCTATTTTTCTATCAATTTTATTTAACAAAAATAGCACGATAGTTTAGATTGAAAATAAATAAAAAAAATATTAGTATTTAAATTAATAAAATTAAAACTCAGGATTTATTTAGTTATAAAGGTCAAACTCTATTTTTTGGGGGTGTAATTTTCCCCTCTTTTTTTTTCTTTTTTTTTTTTTTTTTTTTTTTTTTTTTTTTTTTAAAACCAAATCCAATTAAATAATGACTTCCACCATTCAAATAAATTTTTTTAAAAATAATATTTAAATAAAATGGAAAAAATAAATAACATTTTTGGAAATGTTGGTTGGATATGTCGTTCTTTAAAAGAACTAGTTTTTTGACTAAAATTTGAAGGAAAAATAATAGAGTTTTGTTAGAATGGTTCCTCATGTAATGTTAATAAATAGGAAATTCACACACAAATGGAATTTTCATTCAAAAAAGAATTGTATGAATGTGTTATTTTGAAATTATGAGCTAAAATGATGAATGTTTCCATTTAAAATAAAAAGGGCACAAAAAGTCATATTATTCTCTATAATATATATATATATATATATATATTGTATATATAACATTATTCATTATTCATTCTTCATTTGCCATTTTTGTTTTGTTTCTCTCTAAAGGTTGGGCACAATTTAACAGTTCAATTTTTTCATACCTTCCAAGAAATAAAAAAAAAAAATAGTTTCTAATTAGTTTTTGGGATTTGTTTTAGTCAAATTAATTTCTAATTTTTTTAAATAAAAGTTCAGAAAAGGAGAATTTATGGTGCACCAGCAAAGGAGAGACAAGACACTATCAGAGCTTTTAATCACAAAATATATGTGTATATTATTCTCATATCCAGCATAGCTTGGATTATTCAACTTCAATATTTAATTGTCACTGTCAAATGTATCCAACATCCTCTAAATGTTACAACAAAAACACAAAACCTTTAAAATTTGAGATTAAAAAAAAAAAAAAAACTTCACTACGTCGATGTCTCTCTACTGTTATGTCAAATACCTGAAGATTACAGACAACATTGAACGATTTGTTACAAAATTTCTACATCAATCTTCTTCACACAACAAAGATTATAATGCCAACGAGGCCGTGGTGGTATGCGTGGAGGATGAGCTAGCCGGGGAACTAGAATGACCTCTACCCTCACTATGGCTTGCCCTTCCATCTGAATGCAATTGCTTTGATTGCTTTTGTTGTTGCTGCTGCTGCTGCTTCTGCTTTTGTGGTGGTGCAGCTATTGGTGCATAGATTCTATTCGGGCTGGAAACTCCGGAAGCTTCCTTTGATGCAGCAGCTGTTTCCACCGCAGCCGTGTATTCTGGTGGCGGGACCCAGATTCCTCCCACCACCACAAACTGGGGAGCTTGTTGATTATTGCTATGGTGAATTGAAGGAGTAGGTGATCTTCTTGAATGCAGCCGGTATTTCTGTTACCAAACAAATTTAGGTTTAGGCATTGATAATGTAATTGCACAGTGATATATATAACAAAATGTTATATTGTATACTTGATCATTTGATATGGTTACTTGTTCAAGTCATTCAAATTTTAGGCTACCTCTATTGTCAACAATAGATAAATTTGTATGATGCTACTTGAGAAGTTTGTCTAAGCTAAGACAAGTGTCACATTCTAGTGTAAACAAACAAATTGATGTTCAAATGAAACTAAGGAAAGCTTATCCATAGATAGCAAAACCAATTCAGGTAATCAAGCAGCAATAAAATTTGTACCATCTAAGAAAATTTGAAATCATTAATAATAATTCTATGGAACCTCTATTGGGTATTTCGTCTGTGTAGAATAAGAATGTCTTTTAACTTGGTAAAAAACAAAAACTACATAACATTTGACATTACCGACAATAATTGTATGAAGTCTCTATTAGTTATTCCGTCACTGTGTTGAATACGAATGTCTTTTAGCTATGTGAAAAGAAAACCTACTATAATTCCACCAAATCAAAATATGTTATCCAATAAAATTCGACATCTTGAAAAGTAATTTTATAACACGCTTGTTAGGTATTCCGTCACTGTGTTGAATACGTATGTCTTTTGTGTCTGTGAAAAAGAAACTGCCATAATTCTACTAAATTCATATATATTATCCAATAAAATTTGACATCCCGAATAACAATTCTACTGAAACCCCCATTGGGTATTCCGTCCCTGTATTGAATACGAATGTCATTTACCTTAGAAAAAATAAATACCAAAACTCTACTATCAAGATATGTTATCCAATAAAATTTGACATCCCAAGTAATAATTCTATGAAACCCCTATTGGGAATTATGCCTTTGGATATTCTGCCGTTGTGTTGAATACGAATATCTTATATCTTTGTAAAAAAAAAGATATCATAATTCTAATAAATCCAAAAATACATTGTACAATAAAAATTTAGCATCCAAAACAACTATTCTATGGAACCACTATTGAAAATTCCGCCACTATGTTGAATACGAATGTTTTAATTTCGTTAAAAAAAAAAAACAATAATTCTACTAAATCAAGTATGTAAGGGCATCTTCACCGGTACATTAATAAAACTTTCTTTGATATCAAGTGCTTCAACGGAGAGTTTTGTAGTTTCATCAAAATTCTGGATTTGATGACCCGTTAGAAGAGCAAAAAAGCAAGTTTTTTTTTATCAAATTTAAATTTGATGATGAATTTAATGAACATTGAAGATGACAACATTCAAAGAAACGAACTGAGCAAAAAAAACAAAGCAAATCAAAGCAATTGTATACTAACCTGTAAATGGCTCTTGACTTCATCATTTGTAAGCCCATCAACCTTCATAAGCTCTCTAATTTGCTTAGGTGTTGCGACTGCCCAAAATTTAATCACAAAACATGTCAGCAAATCATTTCAAACACAAACACAAACACAAACACAAACACAAAATCAATTAAATATATAAACAATCATATTTAAATATATTTAATTTAATCACATGATGTACATACCATGAGAACCACCAAGCTGTTGAAGAGCATGTAAAAACCTCCTATGCAACTCAGGGGACCAACACCTTCTAGCCTTCCTCTGAGACTGTCCTTCCTTCTCTTCTTTCTTTCCACCACCACTAGCACCACCATCACCGCCACCGTTTTCTGCGGTGGAGCTCGCCGCCGCGGCCGGAACAGAAGGATCTTTTGTTAGGATAGTCCCAACATTGTTTTCTTTCTTAAATGGATGAAAAGCACCACCTCCATTTCTCTTCACTTCCATGATTGAAACCTTTCTTGGTGATTCCTACAACAATAAATTTTCCAAAAATATTTAAAGCCAAATTAACTAAGACCCAATTGAGTAAAAAGTAATTGGATTAATTGATATATATTTTTTTTCTTTTTTTTTTTTAAGTACCTGTTTGGTGGGTGGATCTGGGGTATGATTCCACAACTGGACAGATCTAAGCCAGTCAGATTTCTTTGATAATTTGTCAATGCTCCTATTATCATCATTGTTATTGATTTTTGATTTTTGAGATTGTTGTTCATTATCATCATCATCATTATTATCTTCACAATCACAAAATGAATTCTTCTTAATTGGTATAAATTCCTCCAAAACAGGGCCTTCAGTTGATGTCTGCTCAGAACATTCAGATTGGCCATGAAAGCACTCTGTGCTTGTCCCTGACAACTGTTGCTTACAAGCCTCAATCGCTTTATATAAAAAAAAACAACAAAAACAACAAAAACAAAAAGAAAAAAGAAAACAAAAACCCATCAAAATTCACACACACACAAAAAAAAAAAAGAGAGATAAAAAACCCATTAAATTCAGAAAAATTGCAAGAATTCCCAAATGGGTATCTTGATGATCCCCATACCTTGAGCCACAAGCTCTAAACACAGAGGAAGCTCGCGCTGGAACACCTGAATCTTACGATGCTCCTCTTGAAGAGCCTCAATATATTCTTGACATTTCTGCATTTTCTCTGCATGATTATTATGTTGATTGTGATTGTGACTATCGCTGATCATTGTGGTTGGTCTGTAATGATTTTCAGTTTGAAGTTTTTTTTCTCAGAAGAGAGGAGAGTTATTATAAGAAAGAAATTGAGATGAGAGAGAGGTGTTTTTGTCAGGAGCATAGAGAGATCCGGAGAAAGGGAAAGTGTTGAGAGAAGAATAAGGGATCTAAGTAGAATCAGGAAAAGGAATAAACTTGGGATACAAGCAAATATATATTAAAAAATATGTATAATTTTAGAGAGAGAGAGAGAGAGAGATGGAGGTGAAGAAGACATGGGAAGGAAGAGATCGGAGGGTGGTGGATGAGGGAGGAAGAGAAGAAGAGAGAGAGAAGGGTCGAAGTCGGGGCGTCGCGTACAAAAAATGAATCTTTGATGGGTAGGATAGGATAAGGGGGTAGAGAGAGAGAGAGAGAGTGTATGATGTATATATGTATGAATATGTATGTGTTAGAGAGAGAGAAGGAGAGAGAGAGAGAGAGAGAGAGAGAGTGTGTAATTTTGTGGTGAGTGGTGGGGGGTTGAATATTCGAGGGACTGATTCCATCGTCGTCGCTTGTGTGTGGGCCGGTAGAGAAGGGTCGAAGTCGGGGCGTCGCGTACAAAAAATGAATCTTTGATGGGTAGGATAAGGGGGTAGAGAGAGAGAGAGAGAGAGAGAGAGAGTGTATGTATGTATATATGTATGAATATGTATGTGTTAGAGAGAGAGAGAGAGAGAGAGAGAGAGAGAGAGAGAGAGTGTGTGTAATTATGTGGGGAGTGGTGGGGGGTTGAATATTCGAGGGACTGATTCCATCGTCGTCGCTTGTGTGTGGGCCGGTAATGACATCACCCATTTCAATGAGATAAGATCGATGACCCTCTCTCTCAAATGCATGTATCATGTTCTCATCTATTCTCTCTCTAGAATTATGGAAAATTATTTATTTTGTTTATTTTTTTTAACAAAATTTTTTTAAAAATAATTTTTATTTATTTTTAGTAAATTTTAATCAATTTTTTTAGGTATTGTTGTGGCCCGTGATATTCACTACGGGCCTTATTTTAATAATTTAAATCGTTCATTTTATTAAATATTTTGTGTAATTTTTTTTAATGACACATTTGATAATCGTAACTTATTCAATTTATCATTTTTGTTATAAAAAAAAGGAATGATAATTATGTTTTTAAAAATAAAACATCAATTTTTTGGATTAAAAATGCAATGAATTCAATCGGTTATGACTAATGAATCAGTATAATTTTTTTGTGATATATAAAGTGTCTAATAAAATGAACGATTTAAATTATTAAAATAAAACTCGTAGCGGGTCCCATGAACTCCAATGAATCTTGAACTGGAGAGGATTCTCCTCATTTTTAAAATTTTTAGATACATCTAATCTAAATGTAAATTTTTATTTGTCTCCAATGAATTTTTTTAATTTATATTTTAGTAAATTTTGAAAACCGATGTTTAGTTTGGAATTTTTAAAAATAATATTCTAAGTATTTAATTCGATTTTTTTTTTCAGTGAACTTTTTTAACATTTTAATCCATTTTTTTACTTTTTATATATACTTAAAAAGTATAATTAAAAAAAAACATAATAAATGTACTAAATTTTTAAATATTTTTGTATTCAATAAATTTTTAAAAAAAAATTTGCACAAAATTTGTACTTTTTAAGTACATCTAGATTAAGTGAAGTAAAAACTACTATAAAAAAAATTAATTAAATTTGTTAAAAATTACTATATAAAAAAATGTGAACTAAAAACTCAAAAAATTGTTATTGAAAACTCCAAACCAAACCTAGAGAATTGTTTGATTTGATTTTTCAAAAACTATTTTTAGACAGTTTTTTTTTTTTGGAGTAAATTACACTTTACCCTCTAAAGTTTCACCTATTTCTCACAAAAAACATAAAAAATGTACTAAATTTTTAAATATTTTTGTATTCAATAAATTTTAAAAAAAATTTTGCCCAAAATTTGTACTTTTTAAGTACATCTAGATTAAGTGAAGTAAAAACTACTATAAAAAAAATTAATTAAATTTGTTAAAAATTACTATAAAAAAAATGTGAACTAAAAACTCAAAAAATTGTTATTGAAAACTCCAAACCAAACCTAGAGAATTGTTTGATTTGATTTTTCAAAAACTATTTTTAGACAGTCTTTTTTTTTTGGAGTAAATTACACTTTACCCTCTAAAGTTTCACCTATTTCTCACTTTAACCTTTTAAGTTTGATTTTTTCCACTTTAGTCCTTCATATTTGTAATCTTTCTCAATTTGACCTTTTAAGTTTGATTTTTTCTACTTTGGCCCTTCATGTTTGCAATCTTTTTCACTTTACTCCTAAACTAACTTCCATTCAAAAAAAAACTAATAGAATTTGTCATATTACCAACACATCAGCTCTATGTGTAATGTAAAAAATTCACTAAATATGCAAAAAATGAAAAATAAAAAACAAAAAAAATAGAATTTTTTTTTAGTCTTTAGTGATTTTTTTTTTCAAATTTATTCATAAATATTATTACATTATAGATGCATCTACATTAGATGCACCTAAAAAAATAAAAACAAATTTAATTAAAAAAAAAAGTTTATTAAAGATGAAAAAATGACAATATACCGAGTCAAACACCTATATTGTCAATTATAAAATGAAAAGTTTACAATCGTTTTTTTCGTCTTTAATGAACTTTTTTTTATTTTTTTAATTAAATTTGTTTTTAGTTTTTTAAGTGCATCTGAGCTAGATGCATCTATAATGTAATAATGTTTATGAATAAATTTGAAAAAAGATTTACTGAAGACTAAAAAAAAATTTCCATTTTTTTGTTTCTATTTTTTTTTACAACAGCGCTACATACACCCAGTGGGGGTCGCGCCCCCAGTGACGTGGCGCGCCCCCACTGGCTGAAAACTTAAAAAAAAAAAAAAAAAAAAAAAACAGTTTTTTTTTTTACACCAATCAGGGGCCGACACCTCACTGGGGGTCGACCCCCAGTGGGGGTATGAAGCATAAATCTTTTTATTTTTTTGTATATTTAGTGAATTTTTTGCATCACACATGGAGCTGATGTGGCAGGTTTTGTTAATTTTTTTAATGGAGGTTAGTCTAGGAGTAAAGTGAGAAGGGTTGCAAATATGAAGGGTCAAAGTGGAAAAAATCAAACTTAAAAGGTCAAAGTGAGAATGATTGCAAACATGAAGGGTCAAAGTGAGAATCATTGAAAACATAAAGGGCCAAAGTGAAAATTGGGTGAAACTTTAGGGGGTAAAGTATAATTTACCTTTTTTTTTCTTCATAATTTAGTAAAAAAAAAATTATTTTTTTTAAAAAAAATAAAAACTAATTTCATGAGAAAAAAATAAAAATGAAGACTATGTTTGGTAGAGCTCTAAAACTATGATTCCAGCCTTTGGTTTGAACGTTGTGTTTGGTTTGAGCTCTGAAAACATGATTCCACACCTACTTTTGAAAATAGGTATACCCGGACGTCTCCCCGGATGTTCAACTGGTTGACTAGAACAGTGTTATTTATTTATTTATTTTTACAATTGGCACCCGTTATTTTTTAAATTATAAATAAAAATATTTTCGGATTTTTTAAAATTTTTTTTTATGAATTTTGAATAGAATTTTGAGTTGTGTGTTTGGCTATAAGTTGTAAATTTTTGAATCAAATATCATATATCATATCAAAAATTTCAAATTCAATTCAAAACTTTTTTAAAACTCTTTTGAAAATTCATAATCAAACAAAATTTTCACACTCAAATTATAATTTCAAAACTCACAAACTCAAAATATAACAATATTATCAAATTATAATTCCAAAACTCTATCAAACGTTACTGAAAATTTTCCATCATCTTCATATAATTTCACAATTTTTGGGTGGGAAATAATTTTAAAATAATTTTTTGATATTATTTTTGTCCAACTAATTTCTATATATATATATATATATTTTTTTTTTTATTTAAAAAATAAAACCAAACATATAAGACTAGTTAGAAATGGATATCATCGGGTGAACTGTGCCTCTGTTGTGCACTTAAAATTGGGTCCCGCCCATGGAGACAAATGCTTTAGTTTATGATCGGAGTAGAGGATACTTGAGTCTGTGAAGGTTCATCACAGGTTTTGTTTTGATAATTTGAATCGTTAATATGTAAAATTTGTTGAGTATTATATACTTGTAAAAAATCACGTTGATCGGATATCGATTACTACGTGATCAAATCAATTTTGTATAAAAAAATGGACAACGAAAAAATAAATAGTTGATAAAAATCTGATTCGATGAGATAGTTATTGATATTTGATTAACGTTGATTTTTTACAAGTATATAGTACTCAACGAATTCTATATATTGAACAATTTAAATTATCGAAACGGGACCTATAATAAATCCCTACGAGCCCAATAGCACCCTTCAAACTCAGACCAAAGGAAACCTCGGCCCTAATGTTAGAATAGTTTGGGCGTGGTATCATTTTCACTTTTAATATTTTTTGTTTTTTTTTTTTGGTTTTCTACTAAAACAATTTGACCAATATGAGAGTTAGATTAACACACTTGTTCAACTTTTTGATTTTGAAAATCATGCAAGTTAGGTCATGAGCACTAAAAATTTTCCTTTTTTTGACAATGTTCAAAAATTTAAAACAACTTTAAACCGTTTCCATTAAAAAGCGGTGTTTTTTTAAGTTTGAAGAACTATTTTGTCAAATAAGTTTTCATTTTAGCCTTTACTTTTTCCATTTTTTTAATAAAAAAAATTAGAGAACGTAAAAAACAAAAATAACATCAAACATGCATATAATTTTTGTTAATTCCTATTTGTTAGCTGAACTTTTCAGTAATAACAATGGTAAGTGTTAGTATGAGTAAAATGAAAATGATGCAAGAAAAAAAAATTTAGACAAATAACAAAAAATTTAAATGTACTTAACCAACTACTTTTCAAAAGTAAAGCTATACAAACATATTTTTATAAAAAGATGCTTTTGAAATTTATTTTTGGGGTTTTTTTTTTAAGGTCTCTGGTATTATCATTTTATAGCATAAAGGACATCAAATATTTTTATAATGTCTAAGGTCCCTCAACAATATTTTCATAATGTCTAAGGTCCCTCAACCTTGATCCAGAGAAATTTCAGTCCAGAGAAAATTGGTCCAGAGAAATTTGGTCCAGAGAAATTTCAGTGCAGAGAAAATTGGTCAGAGAAATTCTGGCCCAGAGAAATTTCTCTGGACCAAATTTCTCTGGATGAGTTTCTCTACTTTTCTTCTCATTCACATCCAAATCATTGTGATTCATTGGGTAAGCAACATTGTTCAACTGAATTCAACTGGAACCAGAGAAAATTGGTCCAGAGAAATTTGGTCCAGAGAAA